GTATTCTGTGTTTCCTGTTGTGTACAGTGCGGATGGGGTGTGTGTGTGTGAGTGGGTGGGGTGGGTTTTGTTTCCCGGTTCCTGCGTGCTCCGGTGTATGTTGTAGGTTTTCTTTGTATGGCTGGTGGGTGGGTGTGCGGTTCCTGTATATTTGTGTGTTCGGTTGTGGATGTCGTATGCGCTTGTGTATGTCATATTGTGTGCCCTTCAGGCTGTTGGCGAGTGCTCTTTGTTCGGTTGTGCCATTTTGTTTTGCTTTCCGTTTGTTATGGCGTGCTTTATCTGTTGTACGTGTTTGTTCTTTGTTTTGTTTGGGATGTATTGTGTTTGTATTGTTGTGTTCCCTGTTGTGCCTTTGATGTATGTTTTGTTTTATGGCGCTTTTGTTTTGTGATGTTATTGTGCTTGCTAGTTTGCCTTTGTATTACACTTTGCCATTGTTTTATATCTTGTTGTGTTATACCTTGTATGCCATTGTATTATACCTTGTTGTATGCTGTATTTTTCTGTGTCTTTATCGTGTTTGTGGTTTATTGTGACATGCTGTCGGCCCTTCTGGCCGGTGGTCTATTGTTTTCTTTTGTTCTGTTCTGTATTCTGTGTTGTTTTTATTGTATTTAAGTTGCATGCTTTGCATGTAAAAATAAAAATAAAAAAAAAACTAGTATGACGTCACCCGTCGCCACGTCGTCGTCTGCGCAGCTCCCCCTTATCCCCTCCCCGGGAGGAGGAAGGGGGAGCCCCAGATCCCCCGTACCGGCGATCCACACCCCTAGTTTTTGAGGCTGATGCTATAGGCAGCAGTTGTGTGCTCTGGCTCCAGACTTTTACAGAGCTGTGCTTTGTGTGTGGCGTCTGTTCTCCAGGGGTGCGAGAGCCAGGAGTTCCTCTTCAGTACTCGGGCTGCATGCGCCTAGGGTTACCTTCCCTAGGTGCCCTGTAAGTACCCCTTGGTGCTTGAGGTTACCTTCCACAAGTTCCTTGGGATCTGCCTCTGCGGTCCTTAACTGCTCGGTTTTTGGCCGCCCTTTGGGTACTTGGGTGTTTTGTCTCCCTAGTTTACCTTAGGGTAAGAGGCAGTTTTGCACTGGTGAGGGGGGCAGGTGCCGCGCAGCTTGTTGTCACCAATCACAGCGGTCGGCTCTGTTCTTTGAGGTACATTGTCCTCTTGCGGAGTTTTTTTTTTGTTTTTTGCCTGGGTAGAGGTTTCTGCCCTACTTGCCACTGATGTTTGGCCTCATCCTGATGCTCAGTGGTGCCCCCTGCTAGGTCCCTGTGAGTGTACACGTCCCTGAGGTTCAACTGTAGACGGTTGTTTGGTAGTTTTGGGTGCCGGTTAGCAGTTCCCTGCCTGGGCTTACCTGAGCACGAGTCCTCTTCAAGTAAACACTCAGGATCCTGGGAATCCCCTAGGGGTCACGTGGGTCCGATGGATGTGACCCCGGAGTACCCCCTCGCTTCATGCGAGTTTGAGGGTTGCTCGGTCCACTTCTCTCAGAGTGACCCTCACTATTTTTCCCTCTGTCACACTGCCTGTTGGGCTGGTGACACGTTCGACCCAGAGTCCTGTGAGTTTTGCTGCTTGCTGGTAACTCAATTTACCCAATTTGTGGATGATCATCTTCGGGTACAGGTAGCGCAGGCGTTTCATGCTAGTTTCGGTTACTGCAACGTGCTAGGTTGGTTGCTCACCTGGATGCCCCGCGACTGCCCCGTTTTACTTATCAGGACCCGGACTTGGGAGTGGGGGTCTCTTCGATCCTTGTTGAAGGGTCGCACCTCCTCATCCTTCCCCTTCTGTTGTTCGTTCTGGTCCCCCCTCCCCTGCTTCCGGCCCCGAAACCTTTGAGGGTTTCGGGGTCGGGGCAGGGGTTAGTTGGTCTTGACTCAGGCAGCCTCGGGGGAATGCCTGTTCTGCTGTGGCGACGGCACTCCAGTCTCCTCCCCTAGTTGAAGCCTCTGGGGTCTGACCGGTGGGCCCCATTTCTTTCTGGCTTCTTCGGGTGCGCTGGCCTTGTCTGGTGGGGTCGGTGCTTGGGGGGGGGGAGTACTCAGCCTCGGGTCCTGCTGGGGAGTACCTTGGGGCTGGAGATAGGCTAAGTTGGGGGTCTTGGGCCCCGCTGGACCCCACCTGGGTTTTTCTGCCCTCCGAGCGGGGCTTACTGTTACAAGAAGTGGGGGTTTTCTTTCCCCCCCTCTGCATACAAGTTGGACTTGATGTCTGCCCCTCCCCTGGTTCGGTTCCGTGTTCCCCTGGGTGCTTCACTGACATGTCGTTTCTTTGGCTGGGACTTTGTGACCAGTGCTCACCAGGCCAGCCAGGGACAGTGGGGTCCGTCCTTCCATCAAGCCCACAGCACTGTGCGAGAGTTCACGGCGGTGTGGTTTGCTCTTTGGAGGCTTCGTGTTGCCCCTGGTTGACAATCCGGCTCCATTCGGACTGCTCCCCAGTAGTTTATTGCCTGAACCCAGGGGGTTCCATGCAGTCCTTGGCTCTTTGGCGCTGGTCGCTTCGGGTGACTCGTCTGCTGAGTTCTCAGGGTTTGGCTTTCCTGGCAGTTTAGGTGCGGGAAGTGTCCAACGTTTTGGCCGACAGCCTGTCTCGTTTTGTTTCCCCTCTCCACGGAATGGACGGTCGACGCCGACTCCTTCCGTTGGCTTTGCCAGACATTTGGACGCCCAGAGGTGGACCTCTTTGTGTCTGCGTTGGTGCGGAGCCTGCTCCTTTATGTGGCGCCCTTTCCCGACTGCGAGGCCGTCGGGGTCGACGCGTTTCGGCAAGACTGGTCGAGATGGGAGGGTTCCTGTACCTCTTTTCCCCAGTTCGGCTGTTACTCCAGGTCCTGACTCACTTGGAGACTTACCAGGGGAGAGTTGTTCTCTTGGCCCCATGGTGGCCAGCCCAGCCGTGGTTTCAGGCACTGCTTGCTTGGTGTTCGGACCCGAAGGTTTTCCCATGGCTCTGCCTCTTCCAGTAGATCGGACCGGTATGTCACTAGGATGGTTCGATCTTCTCCTCGAGTCTTCGCGTATGTTATTTTTTACTTTGGTTTATCATCATCTCTATTGTGATCAGGTGGCTTCCTTATTAGTGTCCCACCTGCGGGCTTCGTCTCGGCGGCAGTATGAAGTTTCCTGGCGGTCCTTCTGGTTCTTCTTACGTCTTTGTCGTTGTACTTCGTTTTCTGTTAGGGTCGCATTATTCTTTCTCTCTTGGTTGTAACAGGACTGTCTCCTTATGCCTAACACTGTCACCTTGTCGTACAGCGCTGGCGGAGCCGCTTCAGCTTGCTTTCGGTATTGATGTTACGTCTGCGCCGTTTCGCATGCTGTCTTGGGCGTTGTTTCACCTCCGGCCTGCTCATGCGCTGCCTGAGCCATCCTGGTCTTTGGACAGAATGCTCTCATTTCTTTCTTCTCCTCGGTTTGTTGTGGCCTCTTCAGTTCCAGATTGTGTTTCAAAGGCTCTCTTCCTGTTGGCATTAGCCTCTGGGGGGTCGGGTTGGTGAGCTTCATGCTCTCCTCTGGCGCAGGGGTTTCTGCTCCTTCAGTTGGGGAGATTGATTTGTTCGTCTCCAACTTTCTCCCTCTTTTCTGGCGAAGAATGAGACTGCTGCTTTCCAGGGTTGTTGGGGTCCCTGGGTTGTTGATGCTTGGTTGGTTCGGCCGGGGGTGCCTCATGTTTTGTGTCCGGTTGCGGCTCTCCGTCATTATTTGCACACCACGGCTTCTGTGTCTGTGGACGCGCTTTGGGTTGATCCGGTTTCCCTTAATCCCTGTTCACGGGTGCGGGTCTCCCAGGCAGGATTATTAAGGCAAGCCAGCCTTAATATTCGCATTCGCGGCTCTTGCCACTGTCTTTGGTAATATGTCCTGGGCTGACATATGGGTGCGGGTATTTGAGAAGTCAAACAGGGTCCTGGCTGCTCAATACCTTGTTAATGTTCCTGGGCCCAGTCGGGCTTGTGTCGTTTTGGGCCAGCGGATGTAGCCGGTTGTCTCAACTTTGAGTTGAGGAATGAGGGGCAACCGCCTCCTGGTAAGTCCCTATTCTTTCCTCTGTGGGTAGCTAGCTCCACGGAGCAGTAGGGGCTCCCCCCCCCCAGAAAACCAGCGTTGAATATAATGAAATGCCATTTTCTGGGCGAGTCCCGGAGGCTCCCCGGCATCCCTCCCTCCCTCCGGTTGGCGTTTTTTCGCGTTTTTGACATTCGGCCTCAGAGCTGAGGTGTGGATCGCCGGCTCGGGTAGTCTGGGGCTCCCCCTTTCCCCTCCCGAGGAGGGGGGAGCTGTGCAGACGAAGGCGCGGTGACGGGTGACATCATATTGGTTTGCTCGTTTTTGTTTAAGGAGTTCTATCCACTCGTTCGGCTTTTGGTTGCAATTTTCACCAGAATCGGGGTTTGTTTTAGAACGCTTACCTTTCTGGGTTCCTAACCCGGTCGATGGCAGACATAGAATGCTTCCAACAACATGGGGGTTTCTATAGGTCATTGCTCCCCTTGCCTCTCTAGACGGGTCCAGGTTCTGGCTCGTGGTCCCCGGGAGGCCCAAAGAACTCCATACACATGACTGATGCCAAAGTCTGACATTAGCATATCAGCGTAGTAAGCTCCGGGAAACCTCCAGGACTCACCCAGAAAATGGCGTTTCATTACATTCAGCGCTGGTTTTTTTTATCGGATGCACATCATGTTCGATGCTCAGACACGAAAGAAGCAAATCAAATGCAAGTTGCTTTCAAAAAGTGCTTTAGAGTTAATAGAATGCCGCCCTGCTCCTTATTATCCACCTGCATTGTCCGTCTTACAGTCGTGCTCCTCCTTGTAGAAGGTCCCGATTTTTAGGACAATCGTATGTTTGCAACTCCCAGTGACACTGATGGTGCAACAGTCTTACCAGTTTGGTGCCTTCTTTTGATAATTACTTACAAAAATATGTAGCAATAAGAAAAGTAAGTAATACAAAATAACAAGTATTTTGATGTTTTTAATGCCTTTGACACTTGACGATCAAAATGTAAGAAAACATTTGTTTTCTATCTCCATAATATCTGCAAATTTGTTTACAAATACCATAATGGATAGATACATTGATTGCCATTGTTGATACCAGTAGTTAATTTAACAACAATATTATTGCAGTCTATCTGAATCCAAAGTTGAAATATTTGGTAAATTATATTTGATTCCATTTGTATACAGAATATGGTGCTTAACTAAACAAAATCAAAGTGAAATGCAGTTGTTCTTTTTGTACCCTGTAATTTCTGAAAAAAGTGCCTTTTCTCTCCAATAAGCAAAATAGCAGAAAGTAAGTTCAAATGCAACTTGAGAGACTATTCCTTTATATCAACTAAGGAAAACATCTACACAGTAGTAGTACATATTACTGATACTATTAGATGAGAGTAGAGGTCATTATAAACTCACTATCCCTCATGTTGTTAGTTTTGGTACAGTACTACAATATGCATAAAAAGTAAAGAATCATTAGGCCTTTCTATTTATATTATCATAATGCTCCAAAGAAGCTATATCATACTCAAGAGAGTGGTTCCTATTTCACAGAGGGAGGTCAGATCTTGGAGATAATGATTGGCAGATGTTAAGATGTTGAGATGCTTATCCTTGGATGCTAGTGAAGTGAGCAACATATCAGAAAATTGGTATGGTACCTCATCCTGAAATAAATTTAAAAAATATATAAGAATTAATATACAGCACAATGAATAATTAACTAGTATGCATTTATATGGCATTTTGAGTTTCTTCCCAAAACATAATCATCATGTAACATCTGAGCATAAAAGCATTTTATTTAATAACTAAACTATGCAAGGATGTGGCAAATACGAAACACTGACACTGTTAATTGTTATATAGAACACCAATGTGATGTCTTCACTGTTGCCATTGTTCAGTTACTGCACATGCAGTAACTGAGCAATTTTACTACTTTAGAGTAGTAAAACAGTTTGAATTGTAAAGAGAAACTGGTTAAAAATAATCTATGCATTTACACGATATGCAAATGCTGCCTACAAAAGTGACTGGAACAAGAATGATGTTGGAAATAAATGCATTCTTGAATGCCTCATAAATCTTAAAAAATTTACAGCAAAAATACTACAAATCATAACTTTCAAATAAAAGAACTTGTGTCAGGGTGAAATAGTATTGTAAGTTTCTACTTACAGATTCCCAATGAATGATGTATACTTTGGAGAAAATCTTTAACGAAGATGGTGCCGTTGGGATGAGGTACTGCCATGTCTCCTCGATAGTGTCTTCGTCTCCGTCCAACGTCTGCACTGTCTCTTCCAGATCTTCCGTACCATTGGGCAAGTCGTCAATTGCTTCAAAAACATTGTACATAGGTCCCAAGAGTAACAAGCCAGCCACTTTATCAGGATGTTTTAGCGCCAACTGAAGCGCGATCTGAAAAACATAATTGTGATAACATTATATTTGCGAGTGCCTGTACCTACACTGGCATTATAGTTTAGTTTTAGTAAGGAGTTCCTTTTGTTTAAATAACTAAAGTATACCATACTTTAATGGTATTTAAATCTAACATTTTCAATACAATGTATATTGGAGTATGAAGCATGCAGTATGTTATTACACTTACATGCAAATACTTTTATGACAAGGTACACAGACAATATGCAATAAACATTCAGAAAATTCAACAAAAATATAATAAAATATTAGATTTCTGTGGAGAGCCCCTTCGGCTCCCCGGAGCTATACCGGGGTGATGTTTGTATTATATATTAGACCATGGCAACAGACAATCGATGGAGTTCTATGCCTACTTGGGACCACGAGCCAGAACCTGGTCCCCAGAAGAGGAATGAGGAGCAATGGCCTACAGACACCCCCATGTAGTTGGAAGCAATCTATATCTGCCAACTACCAGATGGCAGCCATCTCAGTAAAACACTGAGCCATGTAAAACTGTCATCTGCCATCTCGGTAAATCTTTGCCATCTTTTACTGCCATCTCAGTAAAACATCTAAACTATTGGGACCGACTAAAGAGCCTAAATCTGTACTCCCTTGAGCGCAGGCGTGAGAGATACATAATAATTTACACGTGGAAAATATTAGAGTGGCTGGTCCCAAACCTGCACACAGAAATAACATCACATGAAACCAGAAGACATGGCAGGATGTGCAGAATACCCCCGTTGAAAAGCAGAGGTGCAACAGGTACTCTGAGAGAGAACTCTATCAACATCAGAGGCCCGAGACTGTTCAACACGCTTCCGCTACACATAAGGGGCATAACTGGCAATCCCCTCACAGTGTTCGAGAGAACTGGATAAGCACCTCCAAAGGATACCTGATCAACCAGGCTGTGACTCATACGTCAGGCTGCGAGCAGCCGCATCCAACAGCCTGGTTGATCAGTCCAGCAACCAGGAGGCCTGGTCGACGACCGGGCCGCGGGAACGCTAAGCCCCGGAAGCACCTCAAGGTAACCTCAAGGTAGGTAAGGTACCAGGTTAGGCACCCAGAAAGGTAGGAATTCCAATACAAACTACAGATAATTAAAAATTGCAAACAGAAAGTCAAACGAGCAAGTAGAACTCCCCAATCGGAAAAGAAGCCAAGAAGCATGACATCACCACAGGTGCAGCGCTGCTGTTTGTGCAGCTCCCCCCCTCCCCGGGAGGAGGAAGGGGGGCCCCCCAGACCTCCTGGCCTCCCGATCGACTCTGGCTAAAATCCTTGTGCAGTGCTGTGCCTTGTGGTGTTGTGCTGCTGTGTTGTGGTGTGTGAACAGATGTTATTCCAGAAGTACTGGGGCTGCATGCACTTAGGGTCACCTTTCCTAGGTGCCCTGTAATTACTGCCCTTGCAGTTTGAGCTTACCTTCCACAAACTGTTCGGGGGACTGCCTCTGCAGGGTTCTTTTGCTGCTTGGTGATTGCCCATGCTTGGGGTCAACAGGGGTTTTCCCTATCATTGTTTGGCCTTGGGTAGGAGGTAGTATCATCGCTGGCAGGGATGCTAGGTACTATGCAGCTGTCTTATGATGCGCATAGCAGCCGGTTCTGTTCCTCCTAGAGACGTTGTGCATATGTGGGGTTTTTATTTTCTTTTATTGTGTTTTGCCTGGTGGGGGGTCTGCCTGGGGTGCGGCTGTAGGACCACTTGTATTATTTTGGTGGACCCTCTGCTAGATTCCCGTGATTGCCATCATCACAGGGGTTCAGCATTTTGTTTGTTTGGTAGTTTTGGGATAACCGGTTAGAAGTACCTTGTATAGGCTTCCCTTAGCAGTCAGCCTAAGGGCCCTGGAAACCACCATTGGGGCTTTTTGGTCCAATAGATGTGTCCTCTGAGTTTCATCTCACTTCGAGCAAATTTGAAGATTGCTCTGTCTCCTTGTCTCAGGATGTCACTCACCGTTTTTGCCTCCGCCATGCTGCCTGTTGAGTCAATGACACTTTTGACCCAGAGTCCTGCAAGTGGTGTTCCTTGCTTGTACTCCAGTTCACCCAGTCCACTGCTATTGATATTCAGATGCAGGTAGCTTCAGCATTGCATGCGAGGTTTAGGCTGCTGCAACTAATACCGAAACTTGGGGAACGTTAGTCGCCTCGACTTTGGTTTCGTCTGCGCTCCCTGGTCTTTCTCCCTGGTCTCCTACTGTATATAGTTCATACTGCTATACCCTCTGCTCCTGGCTTCCAAACGTCTGAGGGTTTCGGAGTCGGGGGCAGGATTTTCTTGGTGTCGAGACTCAGGCGGCTTCAGAGACTGCCCCTTCCGGATTGGCGGCAGAGGCATTCAAGCCTGTTTCTCCTGCCAGGGCTTCCGGCGTGTGCCAGCGGTGACCGCCCCCCTTCTTCCCAGCCTTTCCAGTGGACTCTGCCTTTTCTCCAGAGGCAGGGAGTTTGGAGGACTGCTCTGGCCTGGGTCCTGACGTGGAGGATCCTGGGCTGGGGAGGAGTTGACTTGGAGGGGGGTTTGACCCCACTTGGGTATTGGTACCCTCGGCATGGGGCTTGTTGTTACAGGGGGAGGGGTTTTCCTATCCTCTCCCCCTTCCCTGTACGAGTTTGATTTGAGTTTGGCTCCTCCCCAGATTTGGTTCTGGTATGGTATCTTCTGGTATACTAGGTTCCTTAGTTCCATCTTTCTGGAGATTTTCGGCTTCCCGCATCCCGCCTAGGGTGGTGCAGGAGGCCATTGCGGCTTACCTCCTGTAAGACCCGGATTAAGCCTCGATAATGGATCCTTCTTCATTTGAGTTTGGCTCTTCTTTTCCTTACTGGGTACGTTACGAGATGCCGGAGTCTTCCTGGCTGGCAGACTGCCGTTTTTTTCGTTGGGGGCGTGGCATGCATTCTGTTGGACTAGCACGTTTAAGTGGCAGGAGTTGACTACGGTCGTTCAGGTTTACCTGGGGAGCGAGTTGGAGCACTTCAATGCATGCTTGTTCGCCCCTGTGCTTTCTCACGATGTCGGCCAGGTGCAGCTTCACATGCAAGTTCCTTCCTTTTTGTCGTTCCTGGTACCTGAGGATTTGTACGCCTGTAGGCACTTGGCTTCAGTATTGCCCTTCTTTTCCCTCCTGGAGCTGTCTTCGGATTGGCTCGAGGAGGACACGGAGGAGCTGGGTTCTGGGTCAGCATCCCGTGCGCTTGCCTCGGCGGCTCGGGTATTAGCTGCCATGTTGAAGTTGTTTATGCTGATTCTGAAGGAAGTGGTGACTCTGGTCTTTGTTTCTTGCCTCGCATGCCAAAGGGCAGTGCTCGTCAAGTCTTTGAAATCTGCATGCTCCCTGGCTCCTAGATTTTAGTCCCCTTTTTGTCCATTGCTGTTTGCAGAGTCTGCAGTGGTGCATTTTCTGCAGGCACCTTCGTTTAGTTGCTGGCCTATGTCGGCATTTTTGGTCCTCCGGGAGGGCCGTGGGGATCCTGATCAGAAGGGTCGTGCCAAGGATTGGGGTTCCTTTGGTTGTGGTAAGCCAGTAGTGCCAAATTCAGGGCCGGCCCCTCCTGTGGAGCCGTCGGCGTCTGGTCGGCACAGTGATCGCTCTGAGCGTCGGTTGGGCTCTCATAAGGGTCTTTGGTCCTTTCGCGGTGCGCCCCATTGATGGGGCGCACCGCGCCCCATTGATGGGGGCGCTTCCCCCCATTGATGGGGGGAAGGCTCACGCAGTTTGCTCTCACCTAGTCCCACAATTCGTGGGCATTTTAGATCTTTTCCTCAGGTCTGCAGTGGCATTGGGTAACTCCTGCTTCTGGGGGTTGACACGACAGTGTCCCTCAGGTGGGTTTCCCGCCTGTTTCCAGTTCCAAAACGAGACTGTGGATCTGAGGTTCATTCTGGACTTGTTTTGTCTGAACCCCTGGGTCTTTTGCCCCTCTTTTCGGATGACCACTCTGCCCCCAGGTCTGGCTGCTTTTGGGACTGGGCACTTGGACCTCAAGGACGTATATTGGCACGTCCCAATTTATCCGGGATTCAGGGACTGGCTCGGTTTTGTTGTAGGGTATCAGGCTTACCACTTAAGTTGCCTTCCATTCGGCTTGAATCTGGCATCTCATGTATTTACACTCCTTATCCAGGTCGTGGTGACCTGTTTGAGTCTGTTTGGGGTTTGGGTTGTGGCCTACCTCGACGATTGGCTGGTCTGGGCTTCCAGCCAGTCCGAGGGATTTGGTTCTTTCCCAGCTCGTCGAGTTCGTGTTCATGGTGAGCTTGAGGAAGTCCCATTTGGTTCCCTCTCAGATTTGAACTTGGCTGGGTCTTGTGTGGGACTCTCAGACCGCTTCCTTGTCTCTCCCTCCAGCGGCTGGAAGGGGTGCACAACCAAAAACAGCCTTCAGGGTGTTTTTCGAGGGCACCCAGGTCACTCGTCAGTTACTCAAGCAGTTGTGTGCGAGTCTGAATTTTGCTGTGCTGGTCTACCCGTCGAGTTGTATTGTATCTAGCTTCGGCGCCTGTTCTTGTTTCTTCGGGGACATCCCTTCTGCCGCTCACAGAATCTCTGAGGTTCGAACCCCAGGGGCCTTGCGTTGGCTGCTGCATCGCCGGCATTCTCTTCGGGTTTTTCGGGATTCAGTGCTGTGGCACCTACCCGAGCTCTTGCTTGATGTGTTCACGGATGCGTCGTCTCTCGGCTGGGGTTTTGTGACCAGTGCTCACCAGGCTGGCCAAGGTTGGTGTGGTCTGTCCTTCCGTCGAGCTCACAGCAAGGTGCGGGAGTTCACGGGGGTATGGCTTCGGATGGTTCATGTCGCTCATGGATCGACAATTTGGCTCCATTCAGACTGCTTCCCAGTGTGCTCCCCAGCGGTTCATTGCCTGAACCGAGGGAGGTTTGATGCAGTCCTTGCCTCTTTGGGGCTGATCGCTTCGGGTGACTCGTCTGCTGACTTCTCGGGGTTTGGCTCTCCTGGCGGTTCATATCCAGGGGAGTGTCCAACGGCCTGTTCTATTTCATTCCCCTGTTCACGGAATGGATGGTCAATAATGCCTCCTTCCTTTGGCTCTGCCAGACGGTCGGGCACCCGGAGGTGAACCTCTTCGTGTCAGCCTGGTTGAGGAATCTTCCGGTATATGTGGAGCCCTTCCCCGACTGCGTGGCTATCAGGGTCGATGCCTTTCGGCTGAACTAGTCGAGGACGGGTTACCTGTCCTCTTTACCCCGGTTTGGTTGTTGCTCCAGGTCCTGGCTCGTTTGGAGTCTGCAGGATTATTCCGTCCAGCCAGCCTGTGGTCTATCCCCATGCCCACATGTTTGCGGCTTTGGTTGCTGTTTTTGTTAACACTTCTTGGGCTGACATTCGGGCACTGGGCTTTTGGAGGTCGAACAGGTGCAGCTTCGACCTCCGACTACTGCAGTACTGTGTAGCCAAACTGGGCTGCACAGTACCTCGTTAATGTTCCTGGCCCTTCTCAGGTGTGTGTAGTCTTGGGTCCCAGGTTGCAGCCAGTTATCTCGACTTTGAGTTGAGGAGCGAGTGGCGGCCGCCTCCTGGGTAAGTCCCTTTTTTCCTTTATCTTTAGTTAGGTAGCTCTAGGGAGCCGAAGGGGCTATCCACAGAAAACCAGCGTTGAATGTACTGAAATGCCATTTTCTGGGTGAGACCCGGAAGCTTCCCGGCATCCCTTCCTCCTTCCCTCCATCCGGTCGGTGTTATTTTTTGTGTTTTTTATATCCAGCCTCTTAACTGGGGTTGTTTACCTGGCGTGGGAGATCTGGGGCCCCCCTTCCCCCTCCCTGGTAGAGGGAAGGGGGGGCCCCAGAGCTGTGCAGACAGTGGCGACATCATGTTTGTGTGCTTGTTTTCTGATTGGAGAGTTCTGCTTGCTCGTTCGGCTTTCGGTTTGCAATTTTTAACCAGCTGTAGTTTGTTTTGGGATTCCTACCTTCCTCGGTGCCTGACCGGGTAGATGGCAGATAGTCTGCTTTCAACTACATGGGGGTGTCTATAGGCCATTGCTCCTTGTGCCTCTCTGAGGGGGCCAGGTTCTGGCTCGTGGTCCCCGGTAGGCATAGAACTCCATCGATTGACTGTTGGCTCGGTCTAATATATACTCATCAGCCCGTTATAGCTCCGGGAGCCTCCGAGCCTCACCCAGAAAATGGCGTTTCATTACATTCAACAATGTTTTTTTAATGAAAATATTTAAATTTAAAACACTGCCTCATTTTATCACTGTATTTTTTAAATGTCAAAAAACCACTTATTTTAACTAAATATATTTTTAAGTTATGTTAACCGTAGAATATGAATTTTGATGATTGAACACATTACAGTACAGTACTTAGAATTTATATAAAACTCACCCATGCCCCAAGTGAGTGACCAATGATGATCTGTGGCCCCCTAGTCTTGTTTAACATTTCAAGAGCATCGTCCATCCATATCTGTAAGGTATTTTTCATCTGCCTCGGACGCCAGATTATTTTGCTGTATCCCACGTGTGTGGGATCATACCTGAAACACACAACATGAGGGATCATACCTGAAACACACAACATGAGTGATCATACATGAAACACACAACATGAGTGATCATACCTGAAACACACAACATGAGGGATCATACCTGAAACACACAACATGAGTGATCATATATGAAACACACAACATGAGTGATCATACCTGAAAGTCACAACATGAGTGATCATACATGAAACACACAACATGAGTGATCATACATGAAACACACAACATGAGTGATCATACCTGAAACACACAACATGAGTGATCATACCTGATACACACAACATGAGGGATCATACATGAAACACACAACATGAGTGATCATACCTGAAACACACAACATGAGTGATCATACATGAAACACACAACATGAGTGATCATACCTGAAACACACAACATGAGTGATCATACATGAAACACACAACATGAGTGATCATACCTGAAACACACAACATGAGGGATCATACATGAAACATACAACATGAGTGATCATACATGAAACACACAACATGAGGGATCATACATGAAACATACAACATGAGTGATCATACATGAAACACACAACATGAGTCATCATACCTGAAACACACAACATGAGTCATCATACATGAAACACAACATGAGGCATCATACCTGAAACACACAACATGAGTCATCATACATGATACACACAACATGAGGGATCATACATGAAACATACAACATGAGTCATCATACATGAAACACACAACATGAGGGATCATACATGGAACATACAACATGAGTGATCATACCTGAAACACACAACATGAGGGATCATACCTGATACACACAACATGAGTGATCATACCTGATACACACAACATGAGTGATCATACCTGATACACACAACATGAGGGATCATACCTGATACACACAACATGAGTGATCATACCTGATACACACAACATGAGTCATCATACCTGAAACACACAACATGAGTCATCATACCTGAAACACACAACATGAGTGATCATACCTGAAACACACAACATGAGTGATCATACCTGATACACACAACATGAGTCATCATACCTGAAACACACAACATGAGTGATCATACCTGATACACACAACATGAGTGATCATACCTGATACACACAACATGAGGGATCATACCTGATACACACAACATGAGTGATCATACCTGATACACACAACATGAGTGATCATACCTGATACACACAACATGAGTCATCATACCTGAAACACACAACATGAGTGATCATACCTGATACACACAACATGAGTGATCATACCTGATACACACAACATGAGGGATCATACCTGATACACACAACATGAGTCATCATACCTGAAACACACAACATGAGTCATCATACCTGAAACACACAACATGAGTGATCATACCTGATACACACAACATGAGTCATCATACCTGAAACACACAACATGAGTGATCATACCTGATACACACAACATGAGTGATCATACCTGATACACACAACATGAGGGATCATACCTGATACACACAACATGAGTCATCATACCTGAAACACACAACATGAGTGATCATACCTGATACACACAACATGAGTCATCATACCTGAAACACACAACATGAGTGATCATTCCTGATACACACAACATGAGTGATCATACCTGATACACACAACATGAGTCATCATACCTGAAACACACAACATGAGTGATCATATCTGATACACACAACATGAGTCATCATACCTGAAACACACAACATGAGTGATCATACCTGAAACACACAACATGAGTGATCATACCTGATACACACAACATGAGTCATCATACCTGAAACACACAACATGAGTGATCATACCTGATACACACAACATGAGTGATCATACCTGATACACACAACATGAGGGATCATACCTGATACACACAACATGAGGGATCATACCTGATACACACAACATGAGGGATCATACCTGATACACACAACATGAGGGATCATACCAGATACACACAACATGGGGGATCATACCTGATACACACAACATGAGGGATCATACCTGATACACACAACATGAGGGATCATACCTGATACACACAACATGAGGGATCATACCTGATACACACAACATGAGGGATCATACCTGATACACACAACATGAGGGATCATACCTGATACACACAACATGAGGGATCATACCTGATACACACAACATGAGGGATCATACATGGAACATACAACATGAGTGATCATACCTGATACACACAACATGAGGGATCATACCTGATACACACAACATGAGGGATCATACATGAAACACACAACATGAGGGATCATACCTGATACACACAACATGAGGGATCATACCTGATACACACAACATGAGGGATCATACCTGATACACACAACATGAGGGATCATACCTGATACACACAACATGAGGGATCATACATGAAACACACAACATGAGGGATCATACCTGATACACACAACATGAGGGATCATACATGGAACATACAACATGAGTGATCATACCTGATACACACAACATGAGGGATCATACCTGATACACACAACATGAGGGATCATACCTGATACACACAACATGAGGGATCATACCTGATACACACAACATGAGGGATCATACCTGATACACACAACATGAGGGATCATACCTGATACACACAACATGAGGGATCATACCTGATACACACAACATGAGGGATCATACCTGATACACACAACATGAGGGATCATACATGATACACACAACATGAGGGATCATACATGATACACACAACATGAGGGATCATACATGAAACACACAACATGAGGGATCATACATGAAACACACAACATGAGTCATCATACATGAAACACACAACATGAGGGATCATACATGAAACACACAACATGAGTCATCATACATGAAACACACAACATGAGGGATCATACATGAAACACACAACATGAGTCATCATACATGAAACACACAACATGAGGGATCATACATGAAACACACAACATGAGTCATCATACATGAAACACACAACATGAGGGATCATACATGATACACACAACATGAGGGATCATACATGAAACACACAACATGAGGGATCATACATGAAACACACAACATGAGTCATCATACATGAAACACACAACATGAGGGATCATACATGAAACACACAACATGAGTCATCATACATGAAACACACAACATGAGTCATCATACATGAAACACACAACATGAGACATCACACTTGAATCATAAAATCCAGAAATAATAAAAATTCAGAACAATTTGGAGGAGTTCTTCAAAAGTTCAGATGTAACACACACACAAGGAGCAATATTATCAAGCTCAACAAGCCACAATGTAGGACTGAAGACGGGAGATGCTTTTTCACTCACAGGGTTACAATCCCTTGGAATCGCCTACCCGCTGAAGCCGTTAAAGCGAAAACTCTGTTACATTTTTAATTCAGCTGGAAAAAAATCATCAGGGCAAATGGGGGAACCTTTGACAAGCTGCAGGCTTCCTGTTCTCATTGAGGCCATTTGAGTGTTAGTGGCCTTCAGGTAAATTCAGGTAAATGAAGCATAAGGGGTCATACTTGAAATATATAGCATAAGGCATCGTAGCTGAAATTGAAACAGAAATAGGTTTATTAAGGTATAAATATACATAAAGTGATGATGCAGTTCAAGCTATTCTCACCCCATTTAGTATATGATGTACTAAATTCATTATATATATATATATATATATATATATATATATATATATATATATATATATATATATATATATATATATATATATATATATATATAATGAATTTAGTACATCATATACTAAATGGGGTGAGAATAGCTTGAACTGCATCATCACTTTATGTATATTTATACCTTAATAAACCTATTTCTGTTTCAATTTCAGCTACGATGCCTTATGCTTTATATTTCAGGTATGACCCCTTATCTTACCAGCCCTATCAAACCCCCATACATTACGTCCTCCTATGATGGAGTGATAGACGGCCGACAGGCCTTAATAAAAAAAATAGGGTTGTTCTATTCTTAAGAATAGTGCAACCTACAATGAACACCCAAATCACGGTACTATATACTCTACCCACCATGAGAGTAAGGACAAGACCAGAACATACACACAACATGAGGGATCATACCTGATAGCTAAAACACTTTAGGTTTGCAAAACACTTTATTCCGAGTAGGCCTTCCATCAGTTACCTTTATTCTTATGTGCTTCATCCCCCATTTATCCCTTATGTATCCCTATATTTTCTCTAATTTTTTTCTTATGAAATGATAAAGCTACCCATTTCATTATATATGAGATCAATTTTTTTTATTGGAGTTAAAATGCCAACACAGAAGACACTGTTCAACATAACAGGCCAATTACACCTGATTAATCTTTGTATGTAGATAGAAGCTGCCTCGTATGGGCCAATAGGCCTTCCTCAGTTACCTTTATTCTTATGTGCTTCATCCCCCATTTATCCCTTATGTATCCCTATATTTTCTCTAATTTTTTTCTTATGAAATGATAAAGCTACCCATTTCATTATATATGAGATCAATTTTTTTATTGGAGTTAAAATTAACGTAGATATATGACCAAACCTAACCAACCCTACCTAACCTATCTTTATAGGTTAGGTTAGGTTAGGTAGCAGAAAAAGTTAGGTTAGGTTAGGTTAGGTAGGTTAGGTAGTCGAAAAACAATTAATTCATGAAAAGTTGGCTTATTAGGCAAATCGGGCCATGCATAGTAGGCTGAGAAGTGCGTTCTGGCTACTAGGTACGACATATATATATATATATATATATATATATATATATATATATATATATATATATATATATATATATATATATGTTGGTTGACTCTTCAGAGGTTGCATGGCATTTCACCATTCTTTTTATGATATCCTCAATAAAGCCTTTAGAGAAGCCGTTGTTGACTAGGACCTGCCTTACCCTACAG